CAGTTAAATGGGAAAGGGACCACCCAAGGAGATTTCTCTCTAAAATAACTTGGATGGGATTCAAAAATCAGAGTGCCTAGGAACAACCTATGAATCAATGTCCCTTTAAGATGGAAACAAATTTTAAAAAGAGAAAGAAATGCAGAGAGATAATGAAAAATGTTTTCCCTTCCATGAGATTGACTTATTCTCTGTTATGTAGCTTTACTTTGAAACAGATCACTCTCATTGCAACACATTTAATGCTGGCAGCCACCACATAGTTATTTGGCAGCTATTTAAAGCTCAGATCATATTACTCTGTTGCAGTGTTAGGCACCCATGTTCCAACTAGTATACAACTGATCTAAACAGAAATCAGCTTCAGGTTTTTGTTCTCTGAAATGAAATGTGACGGCATGATCTCTATGATCCCCTCTTTTTTTCTTTTTTACTTCCTTTTTTTTCATTATTACTTTTTGGAACGGTGTTTTGCCAGCACCACAGGGGAAATTCAGTTGGGTTGTCAGTCTGATATACTGTATTATCAGATATGTTAGCTTTTCCTCCCTCTTACATTTGCTTAAGAGCTTATAACCACAGAGAATAAAAAGTGCTAAATAGAATGAAATGACCTGTCAAGGGTAGATATAGTATTTGTGAATGACTTAAAAAAAATTCTACCAGCTTCAGGCACTCCAATCTGACTGAGTCTTTATGCTATCTCAAAACTTGGCCTCTTTCTTTTTTTCCCCCAAGTAAAGTGCTTTGATGGTCATTGATCTTTGATGATTGCTTCTTGAAAAAGACTCATTTTGTCTTCCCAAATTAAGTCCAAGACCAGATTTGTAGCAGTAGAGGGTAGCAATTATTAGTTGGGAAATAGATTTGAATCCTGCTCTTAAGATAATGAGCCTGATCTTGAATTTTTACAAAACAGTCAACAAAGTCAAGACAAGCAACTCCCAAGCAGAATTAACCAATACGCACTTCATATTGCAGGGGATTTAGTGGTTTTATTAATAGAGAATAGGAGAATTTTCTATGTGGAGTAAAGTGACCAATCTCAGGTCAATGCAGTTGTTAACCCTGAAAGGATAAGTTAAAACTAAGAACTTTTGGTAATCAAATTACATTTAACTTGTTTAAGAAAATATATAATAATATTAAAGCACCAGAGGAATTTTAGCTGTTGTTAAGGGTGCAATAATATTTTTGGGTCTGGTTATTTTCTCTAACAGTCAGAAAAAGGACTACAGTTAGGTCAGAAACTTTTTCAAGGGATTCCCAAAGCCACCAGTTCTAGTTGGAGGAGGACTTCCCTTAGCAAAGGCACTACAGAACAGCCATAAAACTGCCTTGTGAGAACCTTTTTGCAGGTGCTGCTGCACAGTGAATGCTGTAGAGATTCTTGGCGGTGCTGCTGTGTATAGTGAGGTCCCAGAAATTGCCACAGGGCTGTTTAGGTTCTACTAGAGCTGGGGAATAGTCCAGGAGAACATAAAGAGGACTTAAAACCTCATCATCCTGCATGGCAAGTTGCATGTTGCTCCTCTAAGGTCACGTTGAGCTTGGGACTACTTCTAAGCATCATGCCCTACCCCACCCACTCCTACTCAGGGAGCGCATCTACACACATGCTTTACTTTGGAGTTGACTAATTAGCTCTGTTGTAAAGCATCAGTGTCTACACATGTGCCTGTATTAGGGCACACTACAATAATTAATTCTGCTGTAAGATAGTGATGCCAGGGACAGTACTATCTTATGGCACAGTTACTTACTCCATCAAAATGCATGTGTCAACAATGACAGGAGCCTGCTGGGGCACAAGGGTGCTGAAGTGTGGCAGGTTCCCCTGCCACAGGGCTCTGTACTTTAGCACTCTCATGCGTCAGCCAGCCACTCTGCCACCTTTCACTGCCACCCCGAGCATGGAGCTGACTAGGGTTGCCAGCTGTTTGGATGTATTCAGGGAGGTTTCATCTCATGATGTAATGACATTAATGACTTTACACGAGGAAGGCAAAGGCACATTACTATTATATTTTAAAAACCCACTGGACTATTGTATAAATCAGAAGTCCTAAATTTCAGAAAGGCAGATATTGGCTAACTCAAGAGGCTAGCTGGAGAAGCCCTCTGCGACCAGCAACTGGATGACTTGGGAGTTCAGGAATGGTGATGCCTTCTTAAGGAGGCAATTCTCATGGCTCAAAAAACAGGCCATTCCCACATGGACAAAAATCAGGAAAGGAGCCAGGAAACCTGCTTGGCTCAACAGGGATATTATGGACCTATTGAAAAAGAAAAAAGAAGCGTATAAGCAATGGAAGAATGGCTTAGCAACCAGAGAGGAATACGCCTGTATCACCAGGGCCTGCAGCTATGAGACACAGAAAGCCAAAGTAGGCATGGAAATAAAGCTGGCAACTGGAATAAAAAACAACAAAAAGTCCTTCTACAGATACATAGGGAGCAAGAAAAAAATGGGCTCCACTGTGGGACCCCTACTGAATACTCAGGGGCAGCCCACAGTTAATCCCCATGAAAAGGCAGAACTCCTAAATACATACTTCACTTCGGTATTCAAATCAAACGGGAGCTGTTCACCTGACCAGAGGCCCAGGGAACACGGGGAAGACAACAGACTACATGAAATCAGTCCCGATCTCCTACCACACTTGGATGTTTTCAAGTCTTCTGGGCCAGGTGACCTGCATCTGAGAGTCCTGAAAGAACTGGCTGAGCTTATAGCAGCACCACTGCCAAAGTTGTTTGAACAGTCATGGAACTCAGGAATGGTCCCAGATGACTGGAAGAGGACCAATGTGGTGCCCATCTTTAAGAAACGGATGAGGGATGACCCTGCAAACTACAGACTGGTCAGTCTGACTTTGGTCCTGGGTGAAATCTTTGAAAAGTTTGTTAAGGAGGTCACTGGTTATAAGCTGGGGAACTAATGGGGGCGGAGGGTGGAGGTGGGGTTAGGAAACAACTAGCATGGCTTTGTTGAAGGTAGGTCATACCTGACAAACCTAGTGTCCTTCTATGACTAGGTAACTGGCCATCTGGATGAGAGACATGAGGTTGATGTCATTTACTTAGAGTTCAGTAAAGCTTTTAGTTCTGTTTCCTACAGGATTCTCTGAAACAAACTGAAGGGTACTGGGCTCGACCAGTCTACAGTGAGGTGGGTGGACAACTGGCTTAGAGGCTGCTCCCAGAGAGCTGTGGTGTGCTCCAGAGATTGATGCTTAGACCCATGCTGTTTAATATATTTATTAATGACTTGGAGGAGGGGGTGGAAAGCTCAATGATTAAGTCCAGTGATGATATCAAACTGTGCGGAAATGCGGGCACATCAGAGAACAGGGTAAAGATCCAGGATGACCTTGACAGACTGGATTCATGGGTGGAACAAAATCAGATGAGGTTTAACAGGGAGAAGTGCAATGTTCTTCATCTGGGTAGGAAGAACCCTCATCATAACTACATGATGGGTGGTGGTCCACTGCCTGGCACAGAATCTGAGAAAGACCTGAGGGTCACAATTGACTGGAAGATGACCATGAGCCAACAGTGCAATGAGGTTGCAAGAGAGCCATATAGAACTCTGGTGTGCATCAGCCAATGTGTTGCCAATAGATCCAGGGAGGTGCTTCTTCCTCTCTATTCAGCATTGGTGAGACCACAACTGGAGTATTGTGTCCAGTTCTGGGCACCGCACTTCAAGAAGGATGTGGATAAGCTTGAGAGGGTAGAAAGAAGGGCCACCCGTATGATTAAGGGCAGGGAGAATAGGTCCTATGGGGAGAGACTCTGGGAACTGGGCCTGTTCAGTCTGAGTAAGAGAAGGCTGAGAAGTGACTTGATAGCTGCCAACAAGTATGTCAGAAGTGAGCATGAAGATATAGGGGAGCAACTCTTCAGGAAGGCACCTCAAGGGAAGATGAGGACCAATGGGCATAAGCTAACAGAGGGTAAATTCAGGCAGGACATAAGAAAAAACTTTTTCTCTGTAAGGATCACCAAAATCTGGAACACACTCCCAGCAGAGGTGGTGCAGTCACCCTCCTTAGAGGTGTTCAGGTTGAGGCTGGCCAAGCTCCTTGTTGAGCTTGTCTGAGCCCAATAACTTCCTGCCCACAGCAGGGGACTGGACTTGATGATCTTACAGGTCCCTTCCAGTTCTGTGATTCTATGAAATCAGATTCAACATTAAATATTTATGTTAATGAATGCCCTATCATTTATCTCCTGGGTGACTCTCAGAAGTCTCCTGGAGAATTGTATCTAATTCCTGGAGACTCCGGGGCAATCCTGGAGGGTTGGCAACCCTAGGACTGACCTCCTGAGTCTGCTGGCAGTCTGGGGCTACTCCACCCTGGTTCAGACTGCTGCTGTCACATGTGCACATGCAGACACTGACCCTGGGAGCAGTATACTCTGATGCAAATTGTACCGGTGTTTATCATGTTGCATTCATTACATGTGTAGATGCACCCAGGATGTGCCAAAGCCCAGAGCTTAGGCAATGTCATCAGCTTACAACAACCTTGACTGAACGCTAGAAAACATACCTAAGACAGAGTTGGAGACTAGTGCTGGGGCATGTACTCAGGGCCATTCTAAGCCAACTATGCTGCCTAATTTCTAGGTGTTGGCATACATTACATTGAGTGGGAGTGAATGGGTGAAGCATACTTCTTAGTAGCTGCTCTGGACTCTGTAAGGAGACAGTATAGATGTGACACAGCACATAGTCTGATTCACAAATCTGAGGCAAAAAGGAACCTGGCAGTGACTAACAAGAGTGAACTTATTATTCCCAAAGATGGTAGGCCCACTGCAAAGGTGCAGTTTTGGCTCTATAGAGAAGCAATGAATCTTATCCCAGGAAAGGCGCTGTGCTAAAACAGCCATACTGTTTCTGGTACCTGAACTACCCTGTTCAGAGCTAGGTTGTGCTACATAACACTGCAATGTACCACACAGGTCTGCCCCATGTGACCAGTTGTAGAGCAGACAAGGTTCTTTGTGTAAATCCAATATCTTTTATTAGACCAATTTATTCCACTTAGGAATACAATAAAAGGTTTTCACATCACACCATGTGCAATTTCTTAGCACAAACTATTTTTGTGGTCAGAATTCAAAAAGGATCAGACATCTATAAGGCTAGGACATTAAAAAGAAGTTGAAAAAGTCTGCCAAATCCAACAGCCCATTGGGCTACCGTGGTAAAGGTATACCAGCTTCTGTATCTAATACCGCACAAAACAGCAATGAGGCTAGCATCTTATTTAACCGATTTTGATTTTCTAATCATACATTAGCTAAACAACATTATGAGTTAAAAACAAATGGTTGAAACTGGATTTATTTTTCAAATAGGTGGATCCTGAATGGTCTTCTGGGAAAATGTCACTGATTTTGTAACATGAAGAAGGCCTCTTTTTTAGAGCTCTCTTTTGCACATTTTTTGACCAGTTGCACTTCAGGGTGGTTGGAAACACCTGAGTCTTAGAAAAGTAGGACTGGATAAGGACCTCCAGAAGCCATTCAGTAGAACCCCTTACTTGACGCAAGATCATTCCTATTCATGCCATCCCATACAAGTCATTGCCTAACCTAGTATACATAAGGCATGTCTACATGAGATGTTTACTGTGGAGTTGCACAGCTTCACAGTAAAACATTGGAGTGCAGTAAAACATCTGCATGTACAGTGCTAATATGCTGGAATAAAATAACTCTGCTGTAGGATAGTACTTGTAAGCACAAATACTATCGTACGGCGGAATTAATTACTCTGCTGCAATGCACATGTAGATGCTAATAGGGCTGGTTGAGGCACGGACATACTTCAGTGCAGCCAGCCAGCCCCTGTGCATCATGTTGAACTGGGTTGCAGCAGCCTCAAGCTGACAGGATCCCTGGGATCCCCTCCCAGCCAGGGCTGCTCCACCCTGGCTCAATGTGCTGAGGTCCCAGGCTCATGTGCAAACACTGTATGTGGGAGCAATAATCTCCAGTGTGAACTGCACCAGTATTTATTCAATTGCATTAATTGAACATGTAGATGCACCCACTGATATTTAAGTTACCATCCAAACTGCTTCTCCCACATATGTGTACAGATAAGCAGTGAAAGGAAAGATGGGGCACTAAGACAGCAGTTGAAATGAAAGCGTTAACCTATGCTGACTTTTCATCTTATACATCTATTCATAAAAGTATAATTAATCACGAGTTTGAAATATCCCATGAAGATAAAAAGGGAACACTTCTTTCACATAAACTTCTGAAATCTTGGAGCTTTAGAACATGAGACCAGTGCCAGACAAATGAAATTGTTATCAAAAGGAAAAGGCTCCAACACATACAGTTTTATTTGAGACAGAGATACTGCAACATCTATTTCATGCATAAACAGATATATTTAATATACAATGTGTATGAGAAAAATGTATGAAACACACCGTATACACTATATATCACATTATTTTGTAAGCAAGATGGAAATATTATCAGTCAATGCTCTCAACTAACAACGAGGCACTCTATCTTTCGACCATTCAAATTCTAAAATAGAATAGATGGTAAAAATTTCTCTGTAGATAGTGGAAGTGTCAGAAACAAATTCTCTTGTTCTATAGTGAACAAAATGTGCAGGACGTGATCAAGCAAAAGTTCTGAGGTTACTGCAAACATACTGGGAAATGAGCAAAGGGAAATGTCCCAGGGAATAGAAACAACAAAGAAAATGTGATTTATATTGATCTAGGTACAGCTTTCTTGATTTTGAGAGAAAGGAAGGCTTGTATTTTTCTAAGAAAGTCCCAAAATGAGATAAAAATTGTCTATTGTAACTCTGCTGGCCACCACCAGAGGGCTTCATCTGTTAAGGAAACTTTCTCTTGAAAATCTAAATGGGCCTGTGACAAATTTTTGTTGATGAGCCACTTACAAAAACAACAACAGACTAGAGGGATCTTATGATTTTTAAATTAATTTTTTTCTTTAAAAGATGTCTAATATTTCTTTTCAAATCTTATTTGAGGTTATCCCCAGTTGATGGAACCAAATCGTGTCCCTTTTTTTAGTTAAGTTATTAAAGACAGTAGTAGTAACAACTGGCTGTTTATCATAATAATTTATAATATTAACATCAACAACAGTTCTCAGAGAACTCGATAAAAGAGGTCAACATCATTATCCCCTAGAACCACCGTTAATGAAAGTATTAAGACTTGTTGGCTGCCACTGTGAATCAGAGAGGCTGTGGTTGAGTTTCTTCCAGTTTCAAGGCAAAGCTGAAGCCAAAGCACGTAGCAGGTCAGATAATGGGTATGGTTATAAAAGCTGCAGTTGCACTAAAGGAGGGAATTAAACAGAGTGGGGACAATTGGAAAGCAGTATGCTAGGTCTAAGATCTTCTGGGGATTACTGAAGAGCTGAAATGAGAAGCAGCAGTAAGCAATGCAGGAAGAACTACCAGTTAAAGGAGCCAAACATTTCCTAGGTGACACATAACTTGAAGAACTTCACAAAGAACTTGTGTCCTTCAGCAGAGAATGGTCCCAGCAATAGGGGGAGTTCAAGGTCTAGTAAGAGGCCTCTGGTTTCAGGTTCTCTCATCCCTGCGATCCCTCTGTTTTTATAATGTTTTCTAGCTATGACATTATACAAACCGTATAACTGACACATCTTCAGTTCATATTATATATAAGTGGCTTCCCTCCCATCACTTCTCACTGTTAAAAATACATTACCTAAATTACTATCCTGCCTAGTAAAACGTGCAACAACTCCGGTGTCTGTTGTTTATTTCAAAAACATTTTGGCACTTTTCTTCCAAAGTTGTCTTTACCCTCTGTGTGTGAAGAGGAAAGGGGGGTGGGTGTTGCTATTTTCAGTTTCACTTGCTGCTATACACAGTAAAATACAACGGTCCTTTGTACAGAAGACATTTTATTGCCAGAAATAGCCTAAATAAAAGCAGTGCTGAAAGCACCTTAGGAGCAGGGGATGGAAGGTGGAGACAGTGCCAGTGTTTCAGCTTAGTGGGCCAAACCAATCCTTATCTCAGCCCCACTGACACCTGAGCTTAATTTGAACCATCCGTCTGAGATGCTGTCCTCTTTCCTCCCTTCAGGTTTTCAGTTGAGATGCTAGTGCTGCTTTCAAGGACTGTGGAATTGTGCAAAGAGTTTCTGGGTATTAATCATGCTGCATAGATCCGTTCTCATTGTGATAAGAGAACAGCTAAATCTGGAAGGAAAGGAGGAGAATCAATCTCTCTGATTGCCACAGACTCTTCATTTTGCACTCCACAGCCCCTTGCCAAGCAAAGCAGCAGGGGATCCTGTGCATGATCACCTCAGTTCTCCCCAGCAGGTGTCACTATGGAATGGGGAAATGTGTTACGGATTCTGCTGAACCGACTGCCAAACAACACATCGCGAACCCTAGCCGCAGATACAATGTACCCTGACACAGCCATGAAGATAACATGCCAGCACATCTGAAAAAGTTTCCTCATTAGATCTGATGCATAAGCAATTATAGCTTCCTCTTAATAATACAGCAAAAACAAAGTATGAAACCTGAGTTTTTCCACGTTTCTCAGAGAAAATGTAGAGCCTTACAGGGATCCAGTCTGTTGTACAGCAACGCATGTAGTGTTTCAGAATTGTTGGCACTTACCGATAAGTCCAATTCTGCACTCAGTTACACACAAAGCTGGGTAAACATCAGAAAAATTAATTAGTGAGCATGTTTGCTAAAGCTGGCCAGTGAGTCCATCTGATCAGGTTTCTGCTCCTCTTGTTTTGGTTGTACAAACATTTGGGGGGCCAGGTTTTATCAGCACCTGCACTTGGAGGAGCTGCCACTTCTGTAAATACCACTACTCACCCACGATTATGGGTGCTTGTGCTCTGTGCCTTACACATACAGGCTTTGTGGCTCGGCCAGGAGGGTAGTAGGAGGTCGGGGGTGTGGCTCTCTCAAGTGATATCATTTTAGTCTGTGCACCCGCAGAAGCAGCAGCAAGAGGAAAGAAAAATAGGGGCTGAGGAGAGCAGAAAGGATATTTGTCTGAAGATATTTTTTCTATTAGTTTCAGTCCTAAAGCAGTGTCAGGTGTCTTTGGTGAGAATACATCCCAACACAGTGAGAAGGAGCAGTTTGGGTTGAATATGAAGGACTGAATACAAAGCCTCATAAGGCACACAGTAAATATTTCATTTATATTTTTCCATCTCCCTCTGTGGGCAGTCCCCGGTATGCCCGCTGGCTGGATCAAACTGATGGACCCAATCCAGAATGCTGGGTGGGCATGGTGAGGGGAGGGGCTGGAGGGCCCCCGGGCCCCAACCCACTTGCACAGGGAAGAAGGAGGCATGGGTTGACTCTGATTCAGCCATGTGTGGGGGAAGGAGCATGGCCAGGCCCCAACCTGGCCATGTGGGGCTTGGCAGTGGGGGAGGGGTAGCAGTATTAATTGCTATCAAACCCCTGCCGCCAAACTTCCCAACCCATGGGGAGCCGTGTGGGCTAGATGTCATGGCTCTGCTGGCCAGATTTGGGCTGCGGGCTAGGGATTGAGCACCTCTGTTGTAGGGTATGCCTACTACGAATAGTTTGTCAGGTGCAGAGCTTACAGTCACTAGTACTTGAGCAAATAAAATATAGCAGATGCGTTGAGAATACCATGATTGTTTTGCAGACATTTTCACAAATCAAAATATATGATTAACATTTCAATAGCAATGACTGATTTGATGAGCTCTGGTGGTAACCTATAGCCATGCCATGCTCCCTTTATCCAGGAAATATTTGGTAGATAGACTCATCAAAGTAGGCTCTCCTGCCAATATACTCGTGCAGTGAACTGATCCAGGGCATAACTATCCCCAACAGTTGTCTTCCATGGTATGCCGAGAGGTACAGGCTGCAGCCCAGATTTCCAGGTTCCTCCCCATGTTGTGAAACTTCAATAGTTCAATTTTATCCAGGATCTTTT